GTCAGTAGAAAAACGTCCATCATTATTGCTAATGTATTCAGAACTTTGGGTCCTAGAGTTGCTTTTGAAAGGACACAGGTGACACGGTGTTACAAGAAGGGCATAGATGTATATGACGCGCGTGGTTTGTTGACAAAATGGCGGCTATTTCCGGTGATATGCCGGATAGTAAGTTTCCGGTCCAGAAAGTTGTCTTTTTTGCATCTTAACAAGGGAACTTCCGAAAATATTTGCTTTCTGATTGATTTTCTTTGTATTTATCTTAATTTTTTGAAGTAATGTTTGTTTTAAGTATTAGAAAATTGCTGTTTTTTAGTTGACATTCGCTGTTTCGGTTCAAAAAAAAGTGCTGTTTTTACACCTGTTCTTTGAGGTATTTAAGTTTTGCTAAGTCAGATCTATAGAAAATAAGTCATACGAAGTTACAGTCAAAAAAGTCTCAAAAAGTCTCTATGGTTTCAAGTGCTAAACAGAGCTTGAAAACCATTGAAATTTGCTAAGTTTGATAGAATCGCATATCTTGATTAGGCGTAAGCCTGATATCACTACCAGCGAGCTATGCTACAGTTTTTACCAGTTTTTGCCATACAAATAGTGAATATAAAACACACTGAAATACGATTATCAAAGTACACATAAGTATATGTTTGCCAACTTTGTTTTGAACGATTTTCTAAAACATGTCTAAAAGAACAAACTCGTGTCACTCTAAGCTTATTAAAACTATACAAATCGCGCATTTGGTTTGAATTGGCATGCAGCAATTAAACTGAAAACACTTCACTCGGCTAAGACCCAAAACAAGTGATGACGTCACATAAAAAAACGATAATATAGTCTGAAACGCAATGCATTGTGGGGTACTAGTGTTCCCTCCTATGAGTCTGTGAGTCACTTTTTGCGTTAAAATATCAGTCTTTAAAGCGGCCAAAATTAACTTGATTCATATACCTCCTTTTTCACTACGTATGTTGGTTGCCATGTTGACAATAACAATAACACAGGAACAATAGCACAGGAAACCCAAACCGAGGTAAAACAATGAAACGCAATTAGTTTAAAAAAGCAACGTTTTTATATCGCCAGGTTATGTTATAGACTGTATTTCAATTATATATAAACCTAGATTTATTCAATAAACCTACTTTCGATGAGTGAAACCTAACGAAAGTTTTGAATCATTTCAGTAATGTTAAAATGTAATTTCGAACGTTTCGACGCTCTCCGGTGTCACTTTCAAAAGTCCCATGAGGAGAAAGTTAGCAAAAKAYCTTCGCCTTGACGGAGTCCGATTGTTCAAAGATGGCTTTATCTTTTGGATATAAAGCAACTCATGATTCATCTAATCCATTCTGCTTAAGCACTTTTAACATAAGTATTTTAAAATCAACGCCAAAGTCAAGTACCCCGGTGAGGCCTTGGAATACCAGACGTATGCACCTGACTTTCAAAAGCGCTATAAATTTTAAAACAATTAAAAAGTGATTAAGCAAAATGAATTTGATGGTTAACAAGTTTCTGTATATCCGAAAGATAAAGCCTTACCTGAACACCCAACTGGACTCCTTCAAGGCGAAGATGTTTTGCTAACTTTATCAACTTTATAATCAGACATTTAACTTTGCTGTTGAATAATTATTCTATTTTTCTCTTTAAAATGGCGCTTTAGTTTTGCGTTAGTTTTTACTCTTCAAATTACAAACAAAGCAAAACTATAGTCAAAATCCTGCTAACCTCCTATAAGTACCGCTGACCGTTGACCGCGTGAGCAAAATGTCCTTCTATCGTTCCTTTTGAAAGGACACAGATGACACGATGTTACAAGAAGGGCATAGATGTATATGACGTTTATGACAACACACAAACTTATAACCACAATCGTCATCAACATTTTATAAATCAAAT